GTCTCACCAAGTTGCCCAGGCTGGTCTTGAACCCCCGGGCTCAGGCAATCCTCTTGCCTTGGCCTCCCAAAGTGCTGGGATTACAGGCTGAGCCACTGCGCCCGGGCCCATCTTTTATTTTAAAGGGAGGATCTTGCTCTGTTGCCCAGGCTGGAGTGCAGTGGCACAACCTTAATTCACTGCAGCCTCAAACTCCTAGCCTCAAGCAATCCTCCCACCTCAGCCTCCCCAATAGCTGGGACCACAGGTACCCACCACCATGCCCAGCTAACTTTTTTTTTTTGTATAAATGGGTCTTACTATGTTGCCCAGGCTGGTCTCGAGTGATCACTTAAAGGATCCTCCCGCCTCAGCCTCCAAGTGATGGGACTACAGGACTACAGGTGAGAGCCACAGCCCAGCCCCTTCACTTCTTCACGTGGCTCCTCCTCCCCTTCAGATCTGAATGTCATCAAGGTCACCTCCTTGGTGAGGCCTTTTCTGACCATTTTTCCCTAACAGCCACACCCCCCTTCTCTCCCCAGTTCCCTGAGCGCTTATTGCAGCCTTGGGCTCTCCTGGGGCAGGGGCCTGTCTGTCCTCCACTTCAATGTCCCAGAGCCCAAGTGAGCAAGCATCCTCAATCTTCACTAAACACGTGACTTAACCAGGACACACTCAGCACAGGCCTCTGTCCTCAAGCAAACCAGACCCGGAGGCCCCAAGGCTCCACAGGTGTCCGGCCTCCCACTTGGTGGATCCCATCCTGTGAGCTCTGCCCCTCACAGAACTGCTGCTGCTGGAGCGGATGGGCCCTCCAGGGAGCATTCTAGTGTAGAGTGAGGTGACAAGGGCCCCCTCTGGGACTAGTCGCTGGATGACCTTGGACAGGCCCCTCCCCAGCATCAGTGTCCCAGGTGAATGAGGGTGAGCCAGCCAGCCTCCGAGGCTGCACCCAGCTCCAACACTGGGCCTGTGGCTGTGGGACCCTCGCATTCCCCCCCGCCCCCCGCCATCAGGCGGGTGTCTCTGAAGAGGCTGGGCTGGGAGGCCTGAACTTCGGGGCGGATGACATCTGGCTGCCTTGAGGACCCTGGGCAGACTACCGACCTGGGGCTGACTCAGTCCCTCCTCTAACTCCATGGTCCCAAGGGTATGAGTGACACTCGGGCTGGGTCAGCGAGGGAGCGGGGGCCCTGTGCTCCAGAACTGGAAGATCAAGGGGCTACCCCGTTCCTGCCAGGCTTCGGGATCCCAGGAGTTGGAGGACAGGTCCCCACCGGGTGAGCCAGTCACTCTCATAGGGACCCTCCACGTGGCTCAGACGCTGGACTGGAAGGGCTGGTCCCCGCAAGGTTGCCCCTGCTCAGGGCACACGGCTGGTGCCTCCCCAAGCCCCCACCAACTTGCTGGCTCTCACCCGCCCCGTGCCCCCTTCCTGTCAAGGCTCAGCCAGGTTTCTTCCCTTCTCCCTGCTGCTCCTGTGCTGAGGCGCAGGTGTCCACATACACACTGATGGCCAAAGGCGCTCCTCGATGGGCCTCCCGGGGCCCCCAGATCCTCTGTCCCCAGGACACCTCCACTGGGGTCTGTCCTGGGGCCCTTGGACTTCACACAGCTCGGACGGACACCCCTGGTTTCTTCCTCCCGTGGCCCAGGGGGGGTCCCCCCACCCACCACCCTCCACAGTCCGAGCTGGAAGCCCAGGAACCGTGTCACCTCCTCCTCCTCCTCCTCCTCCCACAACCCCAGCCACCAACAAGGCACGGCCATCCTTTCCCTGGAATCTCTCTACAGCACTCCCTCCACGAGTCCCCATGCCACAATCCTGGGCGGGATCCCCGCCTCCTCACCTGGACGACAGCAGTGGCGCTGTCTCCTGGAGTCACACACCTTCCCACCCTCTCCTGAAGCCGACCTCATCTCCCACCTCTTGCCCCAGGCGTGCCAGGCCCTTGGCCCCCAGCACACCCCGCCCTACCCTCCCCAGACCCTCCAAGAGGGCATCTCCCCCGTCAGACCCCTCCTCGCCCTCCCTGTCGGGTGGCTTCTCACCCTTCACATCTCAGCCTCTGGACGCCTCCCCGCCCCACTCCACCCCAACCCTGAATGCCGCCATCACAGCCGTCTGTGCACCTGCGACCATTATACCACACACCCTTTCTCTGCTCGCTGGGAGCCCCCAGAGGGCAGCACTGGCCTGGCTCCCTCACTGCAGACTCCGAGCAGGCAGGCCTTGGTCACATGGCGGAAGAGTGTCCATCCTGCCTGCCACACATCCCCCTTATAGCCACAGCAGCCCCTGGAGAATGACGCTGGCCCCATCTTGCAGATCAGAAAGTGAGGCCCAGGGAAGTTAAGGGGCCCAAAGCCCCGTGTGCGCCACGTGGCTGGGCAGCAACTCAGCATGAGTTTAAAGTTTATGTCCCTTACAGGTGCCCCAAGACTCCCCGGGGGCAGGGCAGACAATTCAGATGACATCAGTGAGCGGAAAACCAGCAGCCCGGAGAGCCAACCCTTGCCTTAGTTGGCAACAGGCTTATGGTGAGGAGTCCCTGTTAGCTCCATTTACAGACAAGGGCACTGAGTCACAGGGGGGCGGGTCAGTCAGGAGTCAAGTCCAGGGGTCTCAGCTGCTGGGCTGCTAGGACTCAGTGGGCTCCCCTCACCTTCCCCAGCCCGTGGCATGACCTGGGGCTAAGCTCACACCCCTGGACCCAGCGCCCTTCTCCTCCCAGCCCCTCCCCACCCCCCACCTGTAGCACCCCCCCGCCAGGCTCCAAGCCCCCTCATCTCTCACCTGGATCTCTGTGGTGGTTCCCACCTGTTCTTCTGGCCTCCAGCAGGGCCCCTCTCTAAATGACTCCCAAGAAGCCCAGTGGGACTCTCGGCTGCCCTTAGGATGAAGACTAAACCTGTCGGCCCTGTGAGCCCTGAGGAAGCTGGTCTTTGCTTTCTTCTTGGGCTTCAGCTCCCCTAAGAAAATCACCCTGGCCTCAATCCTCATTTTGCAGAAGCCCTAGAGGCCACTTTCAGGGTGATCTGCCAACTGAGAATCATTGTGGGATGGTTTCATCAATTCCCAGCACGACTTGATCAGATCCACCCCACAGCGAAGACTACCTCTCTTGTTACTCTCCTTTCATGAGTTCTTGAAGTCCTTCCCCTGCCAGAAGTTCTTCCTAGCATCTAACCTCTGGCTCTCATGCTGTAGACTAAGCAGGTTCTCTCTGGCTCCAGAGGCTGTGGGGGTGGCTGTGGGGGTGGGTGCGTCCTGATCCAGACTACTACCCACGGGAAACCCCTCAGAATCACTCCCGACTTATCTGCCAATTCCTGCAGACGATAAGGGATTGAATCCAATTTCTTAGTTCTTAAAAGATAATCAACTGCAACCAAGAATTTCCTACTAGCCAAGCTAACCTTCATCACTGATGGAAAATTTAAAATCCTCCCCAGATTTAATTCTTAAAAGA